CCCCAAAACCCCAAAACCCCAAAACCCCAAAACCCCATTCCTAGGCAAAAATATTGAAAAATAGGTTGTGGAAATCATGCTTATGTAAAGAATCGTATATTTACCTTATGATTAAGAAGAATTAATATTCTTCTGTCTAATTATGAACCTTCTTTCTACATTTCAGGTGCTATAGCACACTTTTGTGTAGAGAGAGCTACCGAAATTTGGAAAGATCTTACTGGTTATCAGATGGCCTCTGGCCTGGGAGGGAGCTATCCTTATTGTTAGGTTGGTAGTTCTGGTTTCAATTTTTAAGGCTATTCACAACCTGGTTAAATTTGTTACTCTTCATCATCTCATTGGGTAAGGATGGATAGCACACAGGTACTGATAGGAACTGGGATTCATAGTTGAGCCTCGAAATATTCATAGGTATAGAGGTATCCTTCTTTTCAGTAGAGTTCAGAGATGAACTCTTTGACATAGTTTTTACTTGCACATGAGTATCATCAATCATTTCAAGCACTACTTTCTTATTTCTACTCAAAGAAATGTTTAAGTTCCCACTAAGCTGGTTGAGATCATATACATTAGAGTTATCAGACTCATTTAGAGAAGCCATATCGTGATTCAAGAAGCTAAGAGTGAGGCTTACTTGCTTATTAAAGGGCTTAGAATTTTCATTGATTTTGCTTATCATGTGCCCAACATACGAAGCATTTGGGTTCATTTTATGGCTATCAAAGTTAAAATCTTGAGGTTTAGAAAGATTCATATTGCTCCTCTGTCCAAACGGGTTGAAGTCATCATTGTTATAACCAAATGCATGAGAGATGTTAGAAACTATTGAGGGATCTCTGTCAATAGCCTTGCTTTTAAGATCTTTCTCAGGACTAACATTAATCCCTCAATAATTTTCGATGTCAGGCTTTCCACCACTTTCTTCATTTTGAGCCTTAGTTTTTATCGGCTGAAATCCACTCTGGATTTTTGGGTGATGGTCGCTGATATCTCTAAAGTTAACATCAAGTGGAATGGAGTCCATTTTAAACTGAGACTGAAACTTGTTATTTATAGGCTTTTTGCTGATATTTTCTAGAGTGTTTTCCCCAAAAGCTCCCTTTGCCTGCGGGTAAGACTCATCATCTTCACTAAGCTGCATCCCTGAGAACATTTTATTTGTACTTGTTCGGCATGAGTTCTTTTTCTTCGGGAATGGAGTATTTCTTTAGAAATTTATCAGTTTTTCCTAATTTCTCTTTTTGTTCAGCCTCTTCTGTTGTCCTCTTAATTTCTTCCTTAATCTTCCTCTTATTTTTGGTATGGCCCTGCTGACTATTTTTGTGAGAAGATTTTGGAGAATCTAATGAATTCTGAGATGTAAAACTGTGCAAATTATTCTTGTGTTCATCTCTGAAGGTTCTGAGTATCTTGAATAGAATCAAAAATGCTACTTTTGTGTAATCATACTCATCTTCTTTCTCTCCTTTGTCCTTCTTACTGAGTCTATAAGACCTCCGATTTCTTAGTGAAGAGCGATGTTCCTGCTCCTTCTCAGTCTTGACTTCAGATATCGCCTCTGCTTTGAACTGTTGTGCATGAGTATTGTGTAAACTTGAGATTGCTTGTGAATAAATGTTATTTAATATCGTCATAATCTACTTTTTCTTCCTTGATATATTTGTATAATTCGTCTTGGGAGAGAACTTTGATTTTACCTCCGACCAGTTCTTCAAATTTACTTCACTGCAAGAGTCTGTTAATTTTCCTAAGCTGACGCCTAAGCGTACTGTAGAACTGATTTTTGATCATGTTGTCGGTCCTAGGTAGTTAGAATGGGATTACTCAAGACTTACCTTCCATCAAGGATTGTAGCAATTTGTGCCCATTTATTTCCTAATGATTGGTGGTACTCAAATATTTTTCTCTCCTCCTCTAGTGTGATTGGATCCTTGTTTATCTTCGGATCGAGGTGATTATGCCATCTTTCTCTTCATTGTTTAGCCGTCCTTCTTTTGTTCTTAGTCATTCGAGAATATTCCTTTGCAATGGTCTTCCATTGCTTCGTGCCGAATTGATTAACTAGTTTAGTAATAGCTTCATCTTCCTATATTTGTGAGATTTTGGGATAAAAACTGATTACTTGAGGGAGCCAATGGTTTCTCTTTGATCCTCTAGTGCTTTTCTTTTTAGTGTCAACTATGTTTTCTTCGTCCCAGAGTTCAGATCCTCTCTCTAGAAGAGAAACAGTTAGTTATTTTCTTACCTGAGGCTTCATTTGAGTTATCAGACATTATTAAATATTTCAAAAGATCTTGTTCCTAGTGGGGTTTTGGGGTTTTGGGGTTTTGGGGTTTTGGGG